TAAAGAAGTCGTACTTCTACTCATTGAGTTCAAATTTGGTGACCTGTCTTCATCCTACTTCCTGATTGGTCGGTAAGTACTTATTCAGTACATTGAAGTCAACTTAATGAGTGTGCGATCTGTGATTGGTTTATCGCATACTTATTAGTTCATTCCAGATTCTGTTTGTGTGTTCCGGAATAGTTTTAGCCTGTGTTTTATGAGTTTTCAAACGTTTTAGGGTTCATTTTTCTAAATACGGCCTACTTCCAGGAATATTTGGGAAGATGGATTTCGCACTCTTTCTTGCCAAAAAGTGGCTGAATAAATTGGCAAAAAATAGCGTTGCAAAAACATCCTCGCGTTAATAGTTAAAATTATATCTTTGGGAATTAGATACTAATATTAAACGAAGAAGTTTTTGGCACTCTATATTTGTCCGTTTTTCGGTTGCAGATGATAACAGACCAATCTATTTTTAGTTTGAATTTACTGTGAATTCAGACCCCCACAGGAACCTCAGTGACCAATCACAAGCACAAACTTTATAATTTCACCAGAAGATCAGGTCGACATGTCCACCTAAGGCCGCAATTTTTCTCCTTACCGATGCATGCTCATGCAGACCGGAACTCACCTTTTTCGTGGGAAAATACTGTGACATAGGCTTAGTCTTGGGGGTTGGAGGCTACTAGTGATGGGCTCATGACCAAAGTTGACTCTACGGTACATACATGGTGTAAAACAACCATAAGGTCTGCAGTCACAGGCTGGCACTGAGGGAGATTTGAACCCTGGTGTAGTTTAATCCCTCTTAAAAGATGCTGAAGTTGAAGACAATTGGAGAGTGGGTCTGGATAGCCATAGTCAATGTGTAAGGAGCGAACAGCAAATAGATAAAGCTTAATGGAAGAATGATGAAGGCGATCTGCTAAGTGGGCACAGAAGTGCATAAAAGTTTGTTTGCTAGCAGGTAGGAGAGAGTGAACCAAGATCAGAGGGAATATCCTGACTGCAGAATTCTAGGAAATGGCATTGAGCTGAGCAATAAACTTGATGAGTTGAAAGGGCAAGGCCATTAGCCAAATAGAACTGGCACTTTCCAGTCAGTTCACAAGAAGCTGGACCAGCAGCGACGGCAGTATTGGTGTAGCCATGTGAGAGTCAAGGACCCAAAATTACAAAAAATTCTTGCGCAGCCATTTGGCGACTAAGTGATAAAAATCAAGTAGGACTTTTAGTCAGAAAAGAACTCAATGCATAAAATCTGTAAAGAAATTTCCAAGACTTTTTTGGTCGCTACTTTTGTATACATAGCAAATGTAATGTCTATGAAGGATTCATGCATGCCAAGAGACACAATCAGTATGCATACATGACATACTCAATGCTCAAGGGTTTGCAATGCATTACAGGGCAATTTCAAACACGATCTACCCTTTGCAAGTTTTCCGATGTGAGAGAATCCTTTACAGTAAAGCAAAAGGATAGATTGCTTTCTTTTCTTATGTTGAATGTTATAGAAGCAACGATCTTTCACTGTGCATTTCTGGAAAGACATAATGTCTGAGAAAATAACCATTATTGATCGTCAACACAGAGAAAGAGAGTTGCCATTATGGCAGCTCGTGAATGCAAACATATTTTCGGCTGTCGACTAAAAATGAATTTTTGGTCGCTGAAGACAAAATTTTAGCTGCATTGGCAACTGTATCAGTTGCAATTTCGAGCCTTTTTACAATGTATCTAACCAAATTTTATGGATGAACAATAACTTGGTGTTGATGAAATGTTCGGACGTCATGTCCAATCATAATGTGAAATTGGCCAGACATATTCAAAATTTGGTCAGACAATGTCTGATGACCGACTGTTATTTCCAGCCCTGATGAATGTCTTACAGCAGGATGTAAATTCCTGATCAAGTTGGTC